ATACGTTTCCTGACCATCTGAAGGACATTTACAAATATATCTTTACTTTTATTACGGTTCATGTTGACGCCTTTCGATGCTGTGAGATACCAGCAGACAAAAACAAAACTGTCAGTGTATTTGTTTGTAGATGAATGGTTCAGAGAACTGACATGTTGATAAATTAGACACATGTGCAACTCTTGGGTATCTTTATTGAGGAAACGTTTCGCCACACAGTGGCTTCATCAGTCCATTTTAGGAGAAACTTGAAGAACAGGAGGAGAATGAGGTAATCAGTCCCTCAACCTTGAGTCGATGTGTTCATCCATCAATCTTGAACAGTATGGACTGATGAAGCCACTGTGTGGCGAAACGTTTCCTCAATAAAGATACCCAAGAGTTGCACATGTGTCTAATTTATCAACAGTGTATTTGTTGCAAACCCCCAATGATTAGTTCCTAAATGTACAAAAAATCAGTTTCGAAATAAGGAAAAACTGCTTATAATGTGATTTAAATAAAATGTCCAGAATATTTATAATAACTTTGATATGAATTCTAGAGTACCAAAGGATGGTTAACGTACAGCAGGGCGAGGAATAGGTATAATGCAGATGTAACTAAGTCTTAAACCATGGCATGAGGAAGAGGCGAAGAGAAAAAGATGCTAGTGATAGATAGAGGATGTGGCAGTGAAGAGTTCCACTGAACGAGGATGAGTGGCAGTAAGACATGTGTCTGGAACACCTGAGGAAAATTCCTGCGTATAACACAGAAAAATCGAAGACAGAATAATCTGCAAAACTAGAAAGATGTACACAGAGATGTCTGGCGCAGGACTACCAAACTAAAGCTAGTCTACAACTGTAAACTAAAACATTGCAGATATATTCTGATTAGAGTGAAAGAGTTGTAAATATGATCAGTTAAAATTCAACCACAGAATATAGAGATTTTTAAGCAACTATGAACATTTTAGAAGTAAAATGCGTGATGAAGGATTCAGGATCCCAGGAGCATCTAATCCGAATGAACCGAAAACTGATTCTAATGGAATGTGCTTGAAAACGTTATTTAAAAACATATATCGTCACTGCATGCGTTTTTCTCCATTTAATTTAGTCTACGTGCAGCCGGCGAAAGGAGCGTTCGCCAACCCAGTGAATAAGAAGTCATATGGAAGTCTCGGGAAAGCCAAAAGGCGAACAAGTTGACAGAAGAATGGATTACCTGAGAGTATGATGGCCTGGGGGTAGCCTGTCTCGCTCTGCTGACGGACAGCCTCGTGGACTACCCGAAGGAGGTGAGGACTCTGCGCCGCCGCTCTGGTCGACGTGAGGGTGAGGGCGTTGCCCACCTCGTGGTACTGGTTCACCGACAGCAAGATTGGGCCGACGTTGGTCTGGAGCGAGGGAGACGCCAGGATAAAAATGTAAACGTTATAAAACATGCGGCTGCTCAACACAAGTCGTGGTTATGTATTGTTTTTAGGACGAAGTAGAGAACCAGGAATCAAAAGGGAGACGATAAATGGATTGTGTTGGGGAAGAAGGGTCGGAGGACATAGACTTCAAAAGGTGAGAGCCATTTCTGTATAATAATGGCACTTATTTTATATACACGAATAACATTTTGCGGATTTTATACTAACCGTCAAAAAGAAAAACAAAGGGTCTGTCAGGGCCTTTGGAGGAATTTTATTTCTCCTGCAGTGTCTGACTCTTGTGTCTCATACCTCGCATGAACGCAAACATACACACATACGCAAGCGGGCGCCTGGTCAAACACGTCAAGAAACTGGAGTGCAAAAGTTTGTAACAAGATTAATCTTGGAACTAAGGGGTATGTCCTACGAGGAGAGGTTAAGGGAATTCAACCTGACGACACTGGATGACATGAAGGATAAGGGGAACATGATAACAACATATAAAATACTGAGAGGAATTGACAAGGTGGAGAGAGCCAGAATGTTTCAGAGATGGGACACAGGAATAAAGGGACACCGCTGTAAGTGCATAACTCAGATGAATGATAGGGACGTTAGGAAGTATTTCTTCAGCCTTCACTCTGGAGAATGAAGTAGTGGAGGCAGGATCCATACATAACTTAAAGATGAGGTACGATAAGGCTCTTGAAGCAGGGAGAGGCGGGGCAAGGAGCTATGAATTGACCCCTTCAACTAAATAGGTGAGTACACACACAACCAAGACACACGCTACTACTACCACTACTGCTGACATTATAACCACTACCACCACTACCGCCACTACCACCACTACCACCACCAACACTAATTCTACACATACAGTGCTGCTACCACCACCAGCACAGCAACAAGGATTACCAGTTAATTACTATTACCTCCGATGTATAACGAATCTTCGCCAAAGCAATACAATCCATACTCCATAGAGACAAACCCACACTCACAAGACCTTCACAAGAACATCACTTACCAGTAGTCACTGCATCATTATCCACTACCATTCCACCACACAGCCAATCAGTGCACTAAATTGCTGCCCACCGCCACCGCCACACCACCGCACCACCACCGCCACCACCACCGCCACCACACCGCCACCACACCGCCACCACCACCGCCACCCCCCCGCACCACCACCACAGAGAAAATATAATTAAACACAGGAGGCGAGAAATAAGTAAAACTGGTCGATCATATTTAAGAGACTAAACCAGAGGCACACACACACACACACACACACACACACACACACACACACACACACACACACACACACACACACACACACACATACACACACACACAGAAGAGGTATGCTAAAGCTCATGGAGCAGGAAGAGTGACCTAGTAGCTACCAGTGAAGAGGCGGGGCTAGGAGCTGTGAATCGACCCTTGCAACCACAACTAGGTGAGTACATCTAGGTAATAGACACTCTCTCTTCCTCCCTAAGGTAATGGAGAAGATAATCAGTAGAGGTGGAACATCCACATAGACGTTCCATAAACGTTCTGACGTTCATGGAGTGTAGCAGTGATACGACAGCCAGATCTATAATTCAAAGAAGCAGACAGGGATACCACGATAAGCAAACATCGAATTAAGGTCTACCTACGAGGAGGAAGACAGAGAGGAAGTACCACTGTGTCACGTATGGTTCCAGGAAGAAGTGGTAAATTGATAAGGGAAGGCTGGAAGATATGTAGGAAGCTGAGCAAACATTGAAGTGTTCACGAAGGAATCAGAGAAGATGTCAAGACGTAGAAAAAAGCGAGCAACAAAAATACACGAAACTAAAATGATACAAGTAAGAAGTGAAAGTTTTTATAAGGAAATCTGATAAACTGGTGGCAATGGTACGTTACCGGATGTCACGCCGGATAATGTGAAAGGAGGCAAAGGAACTGTACCAGCTTGCGAAGAAAGGCAGAAACAGGGCAAATGCCTGACAGCTGGAAATTACAAAAGTGATCCCAATGTGCAAATAGGGAAACAGGAATCACTGAACCATAGACCAGTTTTACTGACTAGCGTACCTTTGATATACCTCTGATGAGTTTCGACAGTTTTTCTACTCCCAGAGCCCGGGTTTGGGCCAGGCTCGTCTGGTGCTTGCCTGATCAACCAGGCGTACTAAGGTACCATAAAAATAAAAAGTAAGAAAATACCACAACACAAAACTGATTTATAAGAAGCAGCCATAATGATCTCAGAGATGACACTTCCTCTTACAAATTTCCAAGAGATCAATAGCAAAATAAAGAAATTAAAGCAAGAGAGAGAGAGAGCTATGTGGAATGAGGAAATTACATCTTCCTCAACTGTACGACCATGTACAAAGAAATCTGATATAGGAAAAGCGGGAATTGCTAAATTAGACACAGAACAGACGGCAAAAAGCAAAGGTAAGAAAGGAGTTATCAAAGAGCGCTGGCGCAGTTGATGGGTTTAAATATTATAAACCACACTAAGGTCATTATTGATGCATGTAACCTGTGCACCACCAGGAAGGAATTAAAGAAACTCTCAACAGAGAAATACACCTCCCAGTGTATATTAAATAATTTCGACTAAAGCGAGTTAGGAAGACGGTCGGTCGCTGGAAGCTCTTCAAGGGATTTCAGCCGGGGGGGCTAGGATTTCCTAATCGAAATCTTTTTATGATTACAGACCCGTAATGGATTGTCCAATATGCTGCTATAACCCTCTTTACTAGACTATGGTAATCATCACCACTACCACCAGTCCTGCTTGGTACCAGTATGACTTCACCAGTACTATTAGGTACCAGTATGACTTCAAAGATGTCAACAGTTTGGTTTGACTTTGCATGTGAATAGCTAACAACAGAACAGCTGAAAGAAAACCATAAGGATTTTATCATTTATTTATAGAAAAACGACAAATTATTCAGAAATGGAGTCCCATACCCCTAATATTTGGCTCACATACCCACAGGGAATATGGACAGCCCCGGTTAAGAAACCCTGGATTAGCTTTTGGACCCCTGCATAAGAAACTTGCTGCAGGAAATTAATTTCTGAGTGTAACTATCTGCGGATATATGGAATTATCAAGGAAGTTAAGAATGGGACAGGATGTGAGACGCTATACAATGATTCATTTCTCATCCCATTTTCGCTTCCTCAATAATTCAGTTTTCTTTTTCTTGCTCACTCTCCTCTCACTCTCACTCCCACACACACTCCCCCACCACAAAACTCCGACACACATCCCCCACACACATTTCCCCGACACACACTTCCCCCACACACTCCCCCATACACATTCCCCACACACACTCCCCCACACACACTCCCCGACACACACTCCCCCACACACACTCCCCCATACACACTCCCCACACACACTCCCCCACACAATCACTGACTCTACTCACAAAGTAGTGGTTGGAGCAGAAGCGCGCGTGTAGAGTCTTGAGTACAGCATCCTCGGTGAGTGGTCCCGCCAGGTGGATCAGATCCTCCACCTCCTGCACACCACCTGTCATGCCGCCCTTAACGCCGCTACCATCTGTGGCCACACAGAGACAGATGTATCAGTACTGCAGCTATGCAAAGTGCTAAACCTGCGTGGGTTATTTTGTTACCCACCAGCAACCACCTAGTACTCTCGCACCAAATCTGACGACCATCAACCCGTCCACGGTTTCTAATTTTTATCTCTGCCACCTCGTTGCAGGCGTATCCTCGTGTGTTTTTCATGTGCTTATTTGTCGTTAAATATGAATTTTATATATATTAAGAATGTACTGCTAGAGTGTTCAGCAGAAGTTTGTGGTTACAGGAAACTTGGTGCGGGAGGGAAGAAGAGCGACTGGTGGAATGACGATGTAAAGCGAGTAGTATGGGAGAGAAAGTTAGCATATGAGAGGGTTTTGCAAACTAGAAGTGATGCAAGAAGGGAGGAGTATATGGAGAGAAAAAGAGAGGTTAAGAGGGTGATGAGGCAATGTAAAAAGAGAGCAAATAAGAAAGTGGGTGAGATGTTATCAACAAATTTTGTTGAAAATAAGAAAAAGTTTTGGAGTGAGATTAATAAGTTGAGGAATCCTAGAGAACAAATGGATTTGATAGTTAAAAATAAGAGAAGAAAATTATTAAATGAAGAGTTAGAGATATCGGAAAGATGGAGGGAGTATTTTAAGGAATTGTTAAATGTTGATGAAGATAGAGAAGCTGTGATTTCGTGTATAGGGTAAAGAGGAATAACATCTTGTAGGAGTGAGGAAGAGCCAGTTGTGAGTGTGGGGGGAAGTTCATGAGGCAGTAGGTAGAATGAAAGGGGGCAAGGCAGCTGGGATTGATGAGATAAAGATAGAAATGTTAAAAGCAGGAGGGGATATAGTTTTTGAGTGGTTGGTGCTATTATTTAATAAATGATGAAGAGGGAAAGGTACCTAGGATTGGCAGAGAGCATGCATAGTTTCTTTGTATAAAGGCAAAGGGGACAAAAGAGAGTGCAAAAATTATAGGGGAATAAGTCTGTTGAGTATACCTGGTAAAGTGTATGGTAGAGTTATTATTGAAAGAATTAAGAGTAAGACAGAGAGTAGGATAGCAGATGAACAAGGAGGCTTTAGGAAAGGTAGGGGGTGTGTGGACCAGGTGTTTACAGTGAAACATATAAGTGAACAGTATTTAGATAAGGGTAAAGAGGTTTTTGTGGCATTCATGGATTTGGAAAAGGCATATGACAAGGTGGATAGGAGAGCAATGTGGCAGATGTTGCGTGTAAAAGAAGAAATTTAAAAGTGAATGTAGGAAAGAATAAGGTGATGAGGATAACAAAAAAAAAAATAGGTGACGAAAGATTGGATATCATATTGGAGGGAGAAAGTATGGAGGAGGTGGTGAATGTATTCAGATATTTAGGAGTGGACGTGTCAGCAGATGTGTCAATGAAAGATGAGGTGAATCAAAGAATTGATGAGGGGAAAAAGATGAGTGGTGCACTTAGGAGTCTGTGGAGACAAAGAATGTTGTCCATGGAAGCAAAGAGGTGAATGTACCAGATTACAGTTATAATAACACTCTTATATGGGTGTGAAACACGGGTGGTAAATTTTGTAACAAGGAGAAGACTGGAGGCGGTGGAAATGTCATATCTGAGGGCAATGTGTGGTGTGAATATAATGCAGAGAATTCGTAGGCTGGAGGTTTGGGATTACCAAAACTATTATCCAGAGGGCTGATGAGAATTTGTTGAGGTGGTTTGGACATGTAGAGAGGATGGAACAGAAAAGAATGACTTCGAGAGTGTATAAATCTGTAGTGGAGGGAAAACGGGGTAAGGATCAGTCTATAAAAGGTGGGAAGGAAGGGGTAAAGGAAGTTTTGTGTGCGAGGGGCTTGGACTTCCAGCAAGCGTGCGTGAGCGTGTTAGGAGCGAATGGAGACAAATGTTTTTAAGACTTGACGTGCTGTTGGAGTATGAAGGGATTCAGGTAAACCGGCAGGCCGGACTTGAGTCCTGGAGATGAGAAGTACAGTGTCTGCACTCTGAAGGAGGGGTGTTAATGTTGCAGTTTTATAACTGTAGTGTAAGCGTGCCTCTGGCAAGACAGTGATGGAGTGAATGATGATGGAAGTTTCTTTTTCTGGCCACCCTGCCTTGGTACGGCTGATGTGTAATAATAAATAATAAGTTGCAACTTTGTAACATTGCATATCTCCTGATGACGCACTGAGAAGTGCGAAGAAACTTGAGCTAAAGATTTCCACCTTCCTGCCTTGCATAGTTAATAAGATCGCCTGTCTGCGATTGTTTGCATATATATATAATATATATATATATATAATTATATATAAAAAATTATTTTATATATATATATATTTTATAAATATATAATATATATAAATTTTATATATTATATATTTTATATTAATATATATTATATATATATATATATATATATATATAATATATATAATGTCGTGCCGAATAGGCAGAACTTGCGATTTTGGGCTTAAATAGCAACGCTCTCTTGCCATATAGGACAACGAAAATTTGTGTATGCAAAAATTTCTCAAAGTCATTCTAAACATAACGAAAAAAATTATATTTCATTGTGTTTGTTTAGTATTAAATTATTGTAAACTTATTTAAAACATTTTTTAGTAGGATTAGGCTAAAATAAATTATTCTTTTTATAATAAGATTAGGTAAGTTTTCTAAAATTCTTCTGGTGCAAAAATTAAAATTTTTACATTAACATTAATGAAAAAAATATATCTTTTAAACCTATAAGAAAAAATTTTAGAAAGGACTTAATTTTAAATGATTTCTTGCTAACTGACCAGTTTTAACATATTCGGCACGACATATATATATATATATATATAATATATATATAATATATATATATATATATTTTATATATATATATATACATTAGGGTGTGCTATACATATAGGGTGTCAAGAAGAAAGGTGTCCAAATTAAGCAGGTAGATGAGGCCTTCACTCCACTTCATGTACATTATCTTCGCAGCAAATATAAAGAAAATTTCGTGACGTTAAGAGGTCGTGTAAAGATTTAGTTTTTTTTTTTTTAGTCCCATCGATGTGCTATCGAAACAGCCGATTTACTTTCTTTGATAATTATTGAATGTTTAAAATTATACATGTATAAATATGTTAAGGTGACTTAGTTCCTGTACATTCTTCAATCCATAGGTAGTTCTCTCAGCTTGGATAACTGGATCTGGCGACACGAAGTCGCCAGTTCTTTTGGTTTACTGAATACCCTGACCCAGTCATCACCAGTACCTGATATTCTTCTGGGCTTAGTCGGATGACCAAAAGCTCCAGCTGCGGGTCATCATATGACCAAGACCCGCATCAGGAAACACTTATCTTGTTTCCTGAAAAACCTTACCTAGCCTAAACCTTCTAGAGGCCAAATCTTTAGGAATGATAACTTCCATCACTCTGTTATGTAGAAAGCGAGAACAGACGCTTCGAAAGCAACTGCTCAAGCACTGCAAGAAAGAAGTGAAAGAAGGGTAAAATCATACGGTTACATCTGGCTTACACCAAAGACAAAATTCTGAAGATGATTCCTGAATACGACTAATTGAAGAAAAAGATTCACGAATACAACAAATTAAAGAAAAAGATCCAAGAAAACGACAAACTGAAGAAAATCATCATCGAGACCATAGAATTGATCGTACTCACGAGATCCTCCAGTACCAACTCAACAATGTTTTTGACGTGGTCCAAAAAGATGGGATGACGATTTTGTCATAGGAGGAGGATACGGCGTTCCTGGTAAGGCGGAAGGAATATCAAATATCATCCTCCATGGCCCGGAAAACGAAGCTAGGAATGATTGATTTTGAAGCAGAGGAAGGAGATGCCACTGATCCTTCACAATAAGCATTCTCTTCCTCCTCAGAAACGAATACAGAAGAAAGAGTCTACTTTACGCTTAAAGATAATGGCTCAACGAAACAAGGGAAACAGATTCAATGTGTTGTGTTTACCTCGGGGTAAACTATGGATCGAATAAACTTCTCCAACTGGATTTTCCACGAGCTTCTCGGTAGCTCTGGAAAAGTATAAGGGCAAAATGTAAATGAATCATGCTCTCACGAGGCTCATTATGATGACAGAGGATGGTCAGTAGCAATCGTAGACAAATAAGAGCTTGAACCTCACTCTCGAAACCCCACTCCTTTTACACATAGAGTTGAAGCTTCTCTCTTTTGAATCCAAGCTCAAGAAGATTGACAGGATTGCCATCCTAGCTACAGGAGGCAACCAAGAGATCGTTTTCGAAGGTCCCACAATCGGCAGCAGTACTGGCACAAATCAATCGAATGCTTGCATTGAGGTTCTTATGGGATATAACTTCATGTATCATGTGTGAGACTTGGTATCCGACGCAACTGCCTCCAGCATTAGTTTGTCCGAGGAAGCTTGCACGCAAGAAAGTTACTTGCCATCACTGTGTCTAGGTAGTGGGTCTCTTTGACGTCTTCAGAATGGACCGTCCGGCGTCCCCAGTATCATCCGGTGTGTGCGATTCGAAGGGAAGTGGGGAATCATTGAGGGTTTCTTCTGGAAGCCAGCGACTGACCATGAGGATCTGGCAGGATTCAAAGGGCACTGAAGGACCCCGAAGGCTGCGGTCGAATCGAAGACTCACCCCACGGACGATTACAAGGAACTCCTGATCCTGTCGTTCATCTTTTTTAGAGGGAAAAGTTCAGAGGGAGGCGTGAAGATCAGGGCATCTTGAGCCTTCCAGCAAGCCACATGGATGGCAAAGGTCATGTATGCTCTTGGGATGAAGATGAAGATCTCTTCAAAGAACACTTCTCTCTGATTGTTCATAAAATGCCTGTCGTGAGGCATCTCACTCTCTTCATTTCTCTCTTCTACACCAGGTGTTGACCTCAAGCAACAATCGCATCAGACTTAATGGAAGGTATCGAGAGGAAATTTTCGAATCCCTTACAGACTTCAAACGCCACCTTAGGTATGTTCGAGGAACTGTTCGACCTT